TCTCTGCCTCACTTCTACGCTTTTTTTTTTTTCTCTGCAACATTAAAATAGGTGTTACTAAAAAAAAAAAAAAAGAGCCACTTTCTTACCACAACCTCATCGCCTTTCAGAAATCTCTCTTCTAAATTTTTCAACCTTACAATCTCTTGGCCCCTCTTATTTTTACTTACCAGTCTCCTGTCATTTCCCTCCCCAAAACCAACAAATGAATCATTCTCTTGCCAGTACCCTTAATTCTCTCACCATACTGTCCTTTATTTTATCTTCTGATTAAAACAATTGCCCCACAATCCTCTCATGTTTCTCAAAACAACCCTGGCTCCTTTTCTCCAGGTCTTCTACCACCTTCCTGCTCCTTTTCAACAAGCAAACCTACCACACTGAGAAAAGAGAGCCACTGCGTGGTAAACTCATCAGCCTCCAGTCATTCAACCTTATACAACCTACATACCTTTCCCTTTCCCTCTGGCAGTATGGAGAAAGTGTACATCCTGTCTAAAGCTAATCTTTCACCTGTGCTCTGGATCCTATTCCTTCATATTCCTAGGAATTTTGCTCTTCACTCCCTTCTCTCTGCATCATCACTTCTTTGCATGGGTTTCCTCACATTAGCATTTAAACTTGCTTAAATCAATCCCACGTTAAAAACAAAGCAACACAAAAACCTTCCTATGACTCTGGATTCACCTGCTGTGCTGCTTTTATTGTATCCCTTTTTATCCTCCTTCATGTGGTCAAATTCCTTGGAAGAATTATTTAAAATGGATGACTTTACTTCTTCAACCTACCCTAAATTTCTTGCCCACTGCACAGCTCCACCTAGCTATCTCAAATTCAACTTTCTCTAAAATGAACGTTTTCTTCTCAAATGCACTCTTAGGTTATTCCTATCTAATCAACTAGTACCAGTATTATCTTAGTTTCCTAAGGTAAATATGTGTGCTTTCACTTTTCCTTCCCGTCCGTCTCCTTTACTCAATCATTAAATTTTGTCACACTCTCTAATTTACCCACATTTCTCTCACTCCTCTGCCACTAACTTTGGTAGGAACACCCTCATATCTTGCCTAATTACTGTAGCTTTTATCTGAGGTTCCTGTTTGATCCTTTCCAATTCATTCCACACATAGCGACAGCTCTAAAACACAATCTAATTTTGTCAATACTCTGAAATCTTTCCTTGCTTCCCCTTGTTACAGGGTAAGTCTCCCTAAATTCTTACCATGATTTCTAAGTCCTGAGCTGCCCCACTGCTTACCTTTCTAGTCAGCACTCTTTCCTCATTTTTTTTCTCTCACACTCTGTTCCAGCAATACTAAAATGTGCTACAGTCCCTCTCCTCTGGGTTAATCGCATATGCTGCTCCATGTCTAGACCTTGTCTTCGCTGTTACCTCCTCCAGGGAACCCTCTCCAATCCTTAACAGCCAGGCTAGCATTCTTCTATACATAACTGTTTATTCTTCCTTATGTTAAATTGCCTATGTACTTGTCCATATTCTGAATTAGAATGTAAACTTCCCAGAAATAGGGGTAATATCTACTTTGTTCAGTCTCTACAAAGGAAGAGACTTATCTTGTTGACAGTTATGCCTTTATTATTCCAAGGACAATTCTTGGCATATAACAAGCAAATAATAAGCATTTGCTGAATAAACAAATTTACCTCATACTGTAATTGTGAGAATGACATAAAGTAACATGGAGAAAGCAGTTAGCATGATGCCTAATTCATAGAGCACTCAGTATCTATTATTTGTGACCAAAGTTAAAATTTCACTGTGTGGTCTAATAAACTTGTATATGAGATTACTGTGAGCAAGAAGGTTCAGTGTGTTGACTTACTATGTGTTGAATCATTAGGGATACAATTAGAGAAAGGAGTAGGGCCAGATAAAAAACTGAAGTCCACAAGTGCCATCTTTGACAGTTATTTCTCTACTTTTTACTTTGGGGCTGTAAAAACAAAAATATCAAAACCAAAACAAAGAAAAAGCTAAAAGTGTAACAATGAGGAACTCTCTCCCATATAGTTTTTTAAATTTTTTTTTTCAACGTTTATTTATTTTTGGGACAGAGAGAGACAGAGCATGAACGGGGGAGGGGCAGAGAGAGAGGGAGACACAGAATCGGAAACAGGCTCCAGGCTCTGAGCCATCAGCCCAGAGCCTGACGCGGGGCTCGAACTCACGGACCGCGAGATCGTGACCTGGCTGAAGTCAGACGCTTAACCGACTGCGCCACCCAGGCGCCCCTCCCATATAGTTTTTTAATGTGGGTAAAGACTATTTTTGATTCAAGACATTCGGTTTCTACTTCACCAGAAATATATAATGATGGTCTATTTTTCCTCTTGCTTTTCCTCAGAAGTAGTTTGTAAGTTTTTTCCCTAAAATATGTCAAAATACAACAACAACAATAATAAACCTCAGAATAACTAAGAATGCAATGTGCCCTCACCTACCATATGGCAAAAATACTAAAAATTCTATAAACTCGGTGTTTAAGTCTTTGCAGCAGCAGTTCTAAAGTCATGAACCATGGTACACAGGTTCATCTACAGGGATATGATACTATTATCTGCCCTTTTATTTATATTAATAAAAATGGAAGTTTCTAAGTAGACTCATTTTATTTATAATAAATTTACTTATTTGTTTACATTTATTTTTGAGAGACAGAGCACAAGTGGGGAGGGGCAGAGAGAGAAGGAGACACAGAATCGAAAGCAGGCTCCAGGCTCTGAGCTGTCAGCACAGAGCCTAACACAGGGCTCGAATCCACGAACTGTAAGATCATGACCTGAGCCGAAGTCAGATGCCCAACTGACTGAGAGAAGGAGACACAGAATCAGAAGAGGCTGCAGGTTCTGAGCTGTCAAAGCACAGTATTCGATTGATGGGACTTTGAATCCATTAGTCAGAAGATCGAGACCCGAGCCCAAAGTTGGACGCTCAACCGACTGAGCCACCCATGCACCCCCAAAAGTAACTTTTATTATAAATAAATTTATTACCAGGTGCCCCAAAAAAGTAACTTTTTTCATAAATATTATTGGGGTGGCTCCAGTCAGTTGGGCATCTGACTGCTCAGGTCATGATCTTCATAGGCCTGTGGATTCGGAAAGCCTGTGTTAGGCTCCTCTGTGCTGACAGCTCAGAGCCTGCAGCCTCCTTCTGATTCTGTGTCTCCTCTGCCCTCCCCACTTGTGCCTGGGTCTCTCTCAACAAATAAACAAATAAGTAAATTTATTATAAATAAAATGAGTCTACGAAACTTCATTTTATTAATATAAATAAAAGGGCAGATAATAGTATCATATCCCTCAGATGAACCTGTGTACCATGGTTCATGATTTTAGAACTGCTGCTGCAAAGACTTAAACACCGAAGTTTATAGAATTTTTTATATTTTTGCCAGGTGATATTGTATTCTTAGTTATTCTGAGGTTTATTATTGTTGTTTTATCATATTTTAGGAAAACTACAAACTACTTGAGGAAAAAAGTAAGAGGAAAAATAGACCATCATTATATATTTCG